TGATAATGTACAGTTCCAAAAAATAGAAGCTGGACAAGTCCATTTAAAAAATTCAGTAGGTAAAGGGTTAAATTCTTTAATCTGCTGATTTTTATTTGTTTGGGTCGTCAGACCAAACAAATAATGGTAGCGAAATTTCAGAGTCTAATGTTCTTAATTGCAAATGCCGAAAGTAGTCCACTTTTTTGAAGCGGTTACTTCCCTTTTGTATGTACACTAAAGCCGAAAAATTCAGGGGAGATCACTGCGTAAAGATGGTCAAAGACAGGCGCATCAATTTTCAAGCAAAGTAATTCCCGAATGGTCGAAGATTTCTAATATTGTTTTCTGGTATTTTTCTGATCGAAAATAACTAAATACAAAGCGGACATTCAATCTCTGACACAGAAGTTTATGACAAACCTAACAAACAGTAGTTCTCAAAACAGCTTAAAACTAGCGATTTAAAAGAAAGAAATATTTTATTTTGTTACAAGTATCCAACAAATTACAACGCATTTAAAGTTAAACAATAGCGTTGCTTATAGAATTGTCAATAAATGCACAATCACAAATTACGCGGATGAATATGATTTTATCAATGAAAATACTATTTTTAGCCATGTAGATTACCGAATACTACACAAACCGAGTAGTGGAATATATAGATTCTACATGTCGGACTGTTTGGGCGAGAGGATTTTCGCTAAAATATTTACTTCAATTTTAAACAACAGGTTTACCCTGAACAAAATACCTCGAAATTAATAAGGATTACAAACCTGAATGCAATGGAAGTTCTAAATTTAGAATGACTTGATATTATTCAGACGTTCTGTGTATAACTTCTCCGTGGTACAGTGGTAACGCGCTCGCTTAGTGAGTGAGAGGTCTCGAGTTCGAATCCCAGTCGAGGATATTTTTTTTGTTTAATTCTTTTTTTAATTGTTTTTGTTAAGGAAGTAGCCATGATTTACAAGGATAAAGTGTGGCTGTCGTAAAAAAAAGTACATAAATGATTTTTTGATGCAACTCTAGTTATGCAGAATTCCGTATGTGCCTTACAAAATGAATTATAATACATAAAAATAAACTTATACAGGAAAATGCATACAGATATACAGTACGATTTAGATTGCAAAGATCAGAAAATACCAAAGAACATGAAGCCCTTTGATTCTTTATAAATATACATGCTTATAGTAAGCTTCAGGATTATTTACATATGTGTTAAACAACAGTTAAAAGTCTAATTTAGAATAATATGGTTTTCTTCAGGCCGTTCACATATAAATTTAACCGTGGCTGAAGGGTTTTCGGGCTCGCTTAGGAAGCGAGAGGTCTGGAGTTCAAATCCCAGTAAAGGTAACTTATTTTTTTAAATTGTTAAAGTCAAATAAACATTGGATTGAATATCAGTGTTGCAATTAGTCTTATAGCCAATTTACTACAATTAAAACGCTGGAAAGCATTGGTGGCACTAAACATATAATCTCACAACCTGCACCTTTCTTACATTCTGAGACCCAAACAAATTCAGCGCCTTCTGTGCTTTGATTTTTTAATGGACTTGTCCATCTTCTATTTTTGGATCTGTCTGGAAATAGTCTACCTGGCCAAACTGCATTGCAACAAGATTGTGTGCATGCTGGCCTAACTACCTATTCTGTTGGCAAAGGTATCTTACATTTTCAGGTATAAAATTTTTGAAATTTTTCGGACGAAGTCCCTCTGTGATGGGTATGACTGCCTGTAAATTTTACAGGGAAGAACTGAATACTAGAAGGATTTTTATTGGTCTTTTTAAAATTACAAACTGAAATCTGGGAATCTCATTGGCCATTCTAAAATTAGTTTAATAATCTAAAGGATTTTTCTGAAACATATACACGTCCAGATTATAAGATAATCTAATGGAGTATCGGAAACAAACTTTCTAGTTTCATTTCTTGGATAACTTTCTCCCAATAAATATTTTACACTGCTTTGAAATTTTTCATTTACTCTCTAGTGAATAATTTATTCAACATATGAATTTGGCGAGTTATTTATATAAATGACATTCTATAAAATGATGAGATTACCAATAACGTCCACATGTGCATTCTGAAAGACAAGTAAAAGCAGTTTAACCTCCTCTGAGTATCTTTTTAAAGATACTTCTTGTTAATTACGGGCCTTTTCTACAGTCAATGATTTTTTTATTTTTTTTATTTTGCTATTTTTTGTTTTGGTTCACTGTTTTTGCCCTATATATACTGGTTGCATGGTTGTAATCATATACCCTGAATAATTTAAACACCAAACTATGTCACGATTTACTGAATCAGGTAATATTGTTTTTCAGCAGGATATAATAGTTTGATGTAACACTGTCATGTTGACTATTGTTGTTGTTTGACAATACAATTTGGTTAACACTTGATCAGGTAAGGTGTTACGTGTATAGTCATTTATATTTTTTTTTTTCTATTTTCTGCCAAGATTTCCACGGACTGATGTCAGATTTTAAAATAGATTTACATTTTGTATGTATGTGCCAATATTAATAGGAAAATAAGTGACATTCTCAGTATGTTATATATTTTATCTTTAAAAAATATTTATTTTCATGATATTTTAACAGTGACAAATTAATTTTAAAAATAAGACTTGAAAATTCACTTTTGGGAATGAAGTTTATTTAATCAATAGATATATTATAATTTGATTATGTAACTTTTGACAATTGGTTGTTGATCAGTTGACAATTGGTTTTGTATCAGTTGACAATTGGTTGTTGATATGTTGACAATTGTTTGTTGATCAGTTGACAATTGGTTGTGGATCAGTTGACAATTGGTTGTAGATCAGTTGACAATTGTTTGTTGATCAGTTGACAATTGGTTGTTGATCAGTTGACAATTGGTTTTGTATCAGTTGACAATTGGTTGTGGATCTGAGTTGACAATTGGTTGTGGATCAGTTGACAATTGGTTTGTGGATCAGTTGACAATTGGTTGTGGATAAGTTGACATTGGTTTTGTATCAATTGACAATTGGTTGTGATCATTTGACAATTGGTTGTGGATCATTTGACAATTGGTTGTGGATCATTTGACAATTGGTTGTGGATCAGTTGACAATTGGTTGTGGATCAGTTGACAATTGGTTGTGGATAAGTTGACATTGGTTTTGTATCAATTGACAATTGGTTGTGGATCAGTTGACAATTGGTTGTGGATCAGTTGACAATTGGTTGTGGATCAGTTGACAATTGGTTTTGGAACAGTTGACAATTGGTTGTGGATCAGTTGACAATTGGTTGTGGATAAGTTGACATTGGTTTTGTATCAATTGACAATTGGTTGTGGATCATTTGACAATTGGTTGTGGATCATTTGACAATAGGTTGTGGATTATTTGACAATTGGTTGTGGATCAGTTGACAAATGGTTTTGGAACAGTTGACAATTGGTTGTGGATCAGTTGACAATTGGTTGTGGATAAGTTGACATTGGTTTTGTATCAATTGACAATTGGTTGTGGATCAGTTGACAATTGTTTGTGGATCAGTTGACAATTGGTTTTGGAACAGTTGACAATTGGTTGTGGATCAGTTGACAATTGGTTTTGTATCAGTTGACAATTGGTTTTGTATCAGTTGACAATTGGTTTTGTATCAGTTGACAATTGGTTGTGGATCAGTTGACAATTGGTTGTTGAGCAGTTGTCAATTGGTTGTGGATCAGTTGACAATTGTTTGTTGATCTGTTCACAATTGGTTTGTATCAGTTGACAATTGGTTGTGGATCAGTTGACAATTGGTTGTTGATCTGTTGACAATTGGTTGTGGATCAGTTGACAATTGGTTGTGGATCAGTTGACAATTGTTTGTAGATCAGTTGACAATTAGTTTTGAACTGTTGACAATTGGTTGTTAATCTGTTCACAATTGGTTGTGGATCAGTTGACAATTGTTTGTAGATCTGTTGACAATTGGTTGTTGATCTGTTCACAATTGGTTTTGTATCAGTTGACAATTGGTTGTGGATCAGTTGACAATTGGTTGTTGAGCAGTTGTCAATTGGTTGTTGAGCGGTTGTCAATTGATTGTGCAGCTGTTGACAATATGTCATTAATCAGTTGAGTTGTTGATCATTTTTAACAAGTTCAGTGTTATTTTTTTTAAATATATAGTTGTCTTGAGCTTTGCCATTTCAAAGTTTCTTTGTGTTGACATATGTACAAGATACCAGTATATCTATTTTGACGACGACATGTTGTAATGAATACAGTATTTAATATAAATTTTATTGAGCAAATTATTACTTTCATGAAAATCAATGAGAATTAGATATTTACAATTGGTATTTGTGAACATTATGGATATATAAATATACTTTTATTATAGGACTGCGTATGCCCTTACCAAAATGACTTTAAGTGACTTATATGTTTCTTATATGCAACTTATACTTTACCTATAAGAGAACTATAAGTTACATATAAGTCACTTATAAATCACCTAAAAACCTGTCTAAGTCAGTTATAGGTATATGCTACATATAAGTCACTTTTGGCCATTTTTTCCCCAACATATAAGTCACATACAAGTCACCTATAAGTGCCTTATACTGGTGAAGTTTGAAGTAACCAGTTTCTATGTTAGATATAAGTGAAAACTTAGAACTTTTGCGAGACTTTTTATTACTGAGCAAAGCTGAAAAAATTACTAAGTACAAAAACATGAGAAAAATTGATAAAATTTATTGAAGTTGATTTGTAATTCTTTGCTTTAACACAATGGGTATCAAAATACTCAGAATTTAAAATACTATAATCTTAGACCTTAATCACAAACAATTAAGATTTTTTTTTAAATGTTGCTTATTAATTTTTGAACACAGCTGGGGGTTTTTAAATAAGATAATAGGAAAAATGATTATCAATTAAGTATATTACCTGTAAAAAATTTTGGTACATATTGGGACAGAAATGGCATTCAATCAGTGATTTCTAGGCTACCATGGACAGAAATGAAATTCCATGTCATTTCTTCTCTCACAAGGAAAATATTTCACATAAAAGTCACCCAAGGCATAATTCTACTCTTGTTTTTTTTCTAACTTGAAACAGACATTGAAATCTATATGTTTTTACCAACTGTACTTCTTACAGACCTAATTTCGGGGAAGTAAGATATTCTAACAAGAAAAAGAAGAGGTGTATTTTTTTTAATATACAAGTGTTATTTTTAAGACATTTAGGCCTAGTGTATTTTAGATATTTAAACAATAAAAAAAAAACAGTGCTTGAAATAAACAGTTTATATTGCCCTTTTAATCTATATAAAATCAAGGAACCAATATGCCTGGAGATTGCTTATATTTTCTACATCCACTGATACACCACATAGATCAGAGGTCTGATAAAACTGGCCACCTGCCTTTGCCACCATATGTGCATGACTAATTTTTTGACTGGTCATTCCTACAAATCAGACTGTTCCATGTGATTATTTTTGGGAAAGATAACATTTCCTATCCTGAATTTGTAAAAAAGGACATTGCATTTTCTTTTTCAAAAATGTATAATGATTTTTAAACTTTACATATCTATTAGTTATTTGATATTTTTTTTCACATACAATGATTGTAAGATAGAACTGATGAGTGCTTTGATTTTTGGATTTACCCTGTTCTACATAACATTGGACCTGCCCAGGTACACAGTTGTAAGGTTAGCAAGCTGGTGGAAATCACAGAGAATCTACTTGATGTTTTAGGAATTTTAGAGATATTGTTTTGTTTAAGATGTTTAAGTATAGTTATGGTAAATAAGAATGACAAGAAGAATCACCTTGGACAAGAAGATATACAACAAAATCAGGTAAATACCTTTGAGTTACATTTATGCAGATTTGATACAGGTTATATATTAAACAATCAAAGTAAGATGGCAGCAAACTAAAATTTGTAAGTTGAGAGAATAAGGCTGTTTTTATTTTTAAGCTTCATACATTAGATTTACTAATACTTGTAATTGATCTAAATCTAGATTTAATCAGTAGTTTTATGCAGCTGAATAAGACAAGGTCATCATAATCATTTATCATTTATAATTGTTGTTTTCAATGGAAAAATCTGATATTACATTTTACATACATTGCAGGCTAGTGGGACCAGTTCTTACTTTGAGATGCCAGGTGAATAATGAATATGCAGTATTGAGCCTGAAAAGGTATATTTTTTTAATCTCTATACTTACTGCTCTAAATCTTTAACAGAAAAGAGCATATAAATGTTGTTGCAAATAGTGCAGTTAATCAATTCTTATAAAGACTTTTAGCAATTCTTAAAAAACACTGTTGACTTGTGCACTAAAATGAGATACTGTGTAACTAGTAGTATATGCATAAGCATAAATAGCTAATATAGTTTGATGATATAAAAAATATGAAATATAACTGCATATACAATGGTCGGAATTTATTCCACATCTTTTTTAATTAATTATGAATTTTATCTTTAAAGGTGAACACAGCCACATGAAGTTTTCCGAGGAAATAGAAGCAGAGCACTGAAACAGACATCAATAAAAGAAATAGTAGTTTGAATAATCAGAAACATTTGATCAAATTTATAATTTGAACAGTTCCTCACCGACAGACTTCCAGCAAAATATTTGTATAAATAAAGTGTTTGATTCCAAGAAAACCAGTAAAATACAAAAACTTGCTGCTAGAAATGAATATTGTTTTTGTTATAGTGAATGTAAGATGATTGAACTGAAGGATATGTATGTTGAATTTTGTATTTTGCTCATTTATATGACTATGAATATAAATTAATAAACATTATTGAAATTAAATTACTAAACTTTTATTTTATTTCAAGCTTTTTTGACATCAAGCAACATATATGCGGCTTACATGTGACTTATAAGTGACTTATATTAAGTCACTTATATGTAACATATAAGTCACTTATATGTAACATATAAGTCACTTATATGTTACTTATAAGTTGAGCATATCTTTGACTTACATGTCACATATTTGTGACTTATATATAACTTATACTTCACTTATATGTCAAAATGCCAGACATATACTGCACTTACATCTAATTTGCATTTAAAATACATATACTTGACTTATAGGTGAATTGACTAAGTGAAGTATAATCTACATATAAAATAGCCTATAAGTGACTTATAAGTGAATTCCGTAAGGGTGTTTATATTGTATTTTAGTTAGTGGGAGATATATTGAATAAAAAAAGTTGAAGTTTACTTTAAAAGCACATAATGCCTTGAAAATACATATTATTTTAATACTTGAGAAATATCAAACATGTGACTAGTAATGTGTTTTTTAAAATGGATTTAGAGCATGTTAGAAGTTACATGTATGTTAGAGGGTTTACATTTAATTAAAAAAGTAGCGATGAACTGGCAGTGATGTGTTGCCCGTAGCAAACTTTAAACAAAGTTGATAATTGTAGTTATAATTTTGACTTCCATACCAAATACTAATTCTCTATAATTATACCAATTATCAACAGAGCAAAATGAGCAAAAGATATAATATATATTTATATGGTAAGTAACTGTTTTTTTTGGAAACTGTAAGAAGATATCAAAAAATAATAAGTTTTTGAGAAACAAAAATGATGCATTTCTGAGGCATAATGGGCCTTTAACATTATATTTTAGTGAAGTCTAATTTTTGACTTTATGAAATATACATTTATTTTTAAAGGGATGTACAGATTGCAACACAATAAATCTGGCCTTAAAAAAACAACAAAAAAACTCCACCAACAACAACAAAGGAGATTCCTTGATATTTAAGTATTTAAGAATCATTTTACAATACATGGTTCTATTACTTAAAGGTAAACATATCCTTATGTCATACAATGTGATACTTGTACAAATACATCTCAAAATATTTACATCAAAATATGAAGTACAATGGACCTATCAGAGCTTATCACAAAAATAGTTTTCTTATTTACTTTAGAAAACAATTACCTGCAGCCGACATGGTTGAGAACTTGGGTAAATTATGAGAACATAAAAGTTTGTTTACCTACGATGAAGATTGTAACCTGATTATGGTAATTTAGAAGAAAAAGAGCCCATATATACAACAAGAGTACATATAAATGTTGAAGAAAAAGTTTACAAAGATTTGGTTGAATGAAATTGAAGAGATTTAAGTGTTATTGTACAGGTGTTTTATTTTAATTCCACAATAGGCAGTTTAAAGAGATATATTCATTTATTATATACAGTACTGTTGGTTGTCAGTATATCGAATTTGTCAGTATATTGAATTTCATCATTCATCAAGTAATGATATGCTTATTTACTGGTATCTGAACATTATGTATTTAGATCTATAATAAACATCTATAATGAAAAAGATTTTTGTGTTTATGTGTTCATTTTATTATACACATATTACGTTTGGTTTCCAATTTTATTGTGTTGGAGTCGGAATACGAATTTTCCGTTATAAAGGATTATAATAACATTGAAAAAATTTGGTTCCCACGTCGGTATAATGGATTCCGATGTATTGAGTCCTGACTGTACTTATAAAAGAAATATTGATAAAATAAAATGCGTATTTTCATTTTCCGTATTTTCATTGTATGAAAATTATTTTTCACTGTAGTGAAACATATTTTCCGTATTTTCACTGGTGTCTTGCCCGACTACTTTCTTCTACATTCAGCAAATATACTAAATGAAAGACAAAACCCTTTCAGAATTTATGTCAAAAAGGAGAAAAATGTATGTTATTGGCGTCTGCGCCGAAGCGCGACACCCTTTATGGAATGAAAAAGGGCAGTGGAACTTCTCGGGCCTTTTCGTCTGTCATAATAGTGGATCATTCCAATTGGTATGATGGTGTTTGATTATCAAAAATGAAATGTCGCGATATGTACAATGAATTGCAAACTGGAGAATTTCGCATTGCAAACATAAAATAATTCAAATGAAATTATCTTATACATCTTGTGGTATGAAAATCATCAAATTTCACTAAGTGGCTATCACCACTCATGAAATATTTATTTTCATACCACTCGATAAAAATAAATTCTGTATTTATAGAAAAAAACTTATATATCCTCTATTCATTCTAAGGCTTTTTAAGGGTATAATGATAATAATAATAATAATAATATATGAATATTTATTGTATGTTTTGAATGGTTATATATCATGGGGTATCATATTATATTCCATAAATAACTTTCTTCCTCTTCTCTCGTCTTTTCAGGTACATTTTGGTTTTATTTAACCATAAAGAAATTTAATATAAGTTATAAATTATGATTTTCATACGTAAGGGTAGTCCAAATATTAAGACATAAACTGCAGATTTAAAGCTATCATTTACATGGGTCAAATTTGATTTATCGCATTTTCTGATAAACGTAAAATTGTAAAAAAAAGAAAATTCGAAAGTCTTTTAATGAAGGGGCTTACGTAAGGCCACCCCTGGTGATATTTGAGTTCATTAGAATTTTACAGTTATATTAATTTGAGTTAACTGACCAACACAGTTAACACAAACAATAAACAACAAACAAGGGGAGTGTTGGCCTAGTGGTTAAGGTATCTGCTTGTCAACCCTCCAGGGATCATTCATGGGTTCGAGTCCTACTCGGGTCACAACCATGTTTCTTTGTATACTAATACCAGTTCTTGTTTAGCTCCAGGACTTTAGATTGATTCAAATAATTTTTAATCATTCAACCCAGGAATAGTGGGTTCGAGTTCCACTTGGGTCACAACCATGTTTCTCCGTATTATGATACCAGTACTGGTTTAGCGCCAGCACTCAAGAGTGGTTTATATAATTTTAAAATATTCTTCAAGATGGAGCTGAACTAATTAATTTATTCTTTGTTCCTTGAAATTGTGAAAAAATATACTTTTTGTCATTCAGGGAACAATTGACCCAATATCAGTCAATAAAATTGGGCCAGAAAAATACCCACCTGAAATGAGATAATTTGATGTTCGTGTTTTTTTCTGCTCAAATTTAATTCTTTGTGACATCAGCATCCTTAGGATGACAACATGGTGATGTCAGACACACGGGAAGTCTCCGTCTCATCTAATGGTGACTTTGTCATTTCCCCATACGAGTATTTACATGTGAAGAACTTCCTGATTTTGGTCATGCAGTTACTTATATACTTATATATATAAATTCCCTTATAGTTCAAAAATTTTACTTTATTCAAATTCAAATTACTTTTTAATCAGTAATTGTTGTTATTTTTAAGTTAATTATATAAGAATCAACAGAGTAACTTAATTGCTGACAAGAATTCAATTACATTTGTACTATTAATAAACAGTAAATTAACAGGGTTTTTTTTTAATCGTTAAATTTTTTTTTTGTAATATTGATTTTTGTCGATTTTTATTAACGCATAAAATAAAATTAAACATTTATAAATTATGTATGGTAGTTTGAACTAATGATTTTTAATGACGATTTTCAATTGAGTCATATTTGACAACTAATTGGATTTAAACAGTTACAGTTGAGTGATTCTGCGGCCACATTATTATAGGTAAGCGTGAAGTAAAGAGGTCATTGTCACTTTAACAGTTTAAACACAGTGTTATTGGTAGACCTGGGCAAATGTTTACTGTACAATAAGAAAAGATCAATTTCGGATGTTTCCTATATATGGGATACCTTTACAGTCTGTTTTGTGTTAAATGAATTAAAGATTCGCACCGTGTGAATAAAGGAATAAAGAAAGTGGTGAAAATAAATATTATGCAGTAGTTATACTGTTAGAGATTTAAAAGTTTATTCTTTCACACCTGCAGGATTAAAATTGGATTAGTTTATAGTTTAAACAGGTATTTTGTTTTCTTTAAAGTTTTTTTTTAAAAACCACTGTTTTTGTTATAAAATGAGGTTATTTGTTCCATTGTAATTTGGGTAAAAAATGAATATTTATATTTTATTTTTCAATTCTGATAACATTTCATTAAGTTACTTTGAATTTTATAGGTAATTAATTATACCAACAATGTATAATTATGTAACATTCATTTTATATAAATATTTGTGTGTTTCTTTATGTACATGTATACAAACTAAATCCAGTGTAGGTCAAGACACATGTAAAACCACAGGTTCACAAGATTCAGGTCTCTCGGTATATACGGTAGATATTTTTTATGTAACAAAGAAATATTCAATACTGCTCTATACATTTTATATTATATATTTATCTGTTTATTTATTATGTAAATTTCTTTATGAAGTTTGACTACATGATGTCAGCAATTCAGTTCTTTTCAAAGGCAATAAATAAGTGTACCATTTTTTATTATTTATGTTGCATTTTCATTATTTCATTATACAACCTCTTGGTGTAAACGAATGAAGAATATACATGTATAAGTCAGCAGATAGATGTTTTTTAGAGGGTGGAGTCAACTTAAATAGCGAGCGGTCTACGTAATCTGTCAATAATGTATTACATATATATTACATATATATAAAACCCACATTACATTATACACATCAGTTAACATCCTTGAAGGTTAATATATGTCACAGGGTGAGAAAAATTTGCAGCCTGACCGGAACTCGAACCAGAGACTCTTGGAATACTGTAGTGCTGCTCAACCAACTGAGCTATCCGGCTGTTTAAACACTTTCTCCCCTAATTAGTGAACAGTTCAATTCAGTGAAATATGTATTTTAAACTTTTACATTCTAAAACCAAAACCTTTGCCACCACTAAAGATCAAGAGTAGCCTGCGCATCCGTGTAGTCTGATGAGGGTCTGTACTGTTGGTAGTTCAATTTCAGTATTTTGATATTGAAATCCCTTTAAACTTGAATGAACTAATAATTCTTATTCAAAGCTGGTCAATTCCATTTGAAAAATTCAGCAGGTTATTAGGAGAAAGCAGGGGTCTCAAGGTTACAGCGGCAGTTATTGAAGTTTTTGAACATCCCAGTTGCCATATAGATCTGTGTTAAAAACTGCTCCACTTTAAGATCTCCACATAAATTATTTGGGACCTCAAAGAGACAAATAAAGACATATTTTACTTGGAGACAACTTTTATTTTGTCTTTTGACAAGTACTGGTAGGGGCTGGCTACCACACTTGCCTTAATGAATTCCAAAAAGAAATATTAAAAGAAAGAAAAGGAAAAAGACAGAAAAGTGAGAGAACAAGAAGAAAGAATTTAGTTTTTAAGAAAGAAAGAAAGAATTAAAGAATTAATGTAAAAAAGGAAGAACAAGGAAAGGAAAAAATAAAATAAAAGCAGCACAAAAGAAATAAATGAAGCAAGGAAGAAAGAAAGAAAGAAAGAAAGGAAGAAAGAAAGAAAGAAAGAAAGAAAGAAAGAAAGAAAGAAAGAAAGAAAGAAAGAAAGAAAGAAAGAAAGAAAGAAAGAAAGAAAGAAAGAAAGAAAAAGAAAGAAAGAAAGAAAGGATTGGAATGTAAAGGAAAGGAATGAGAATCAAGAAGGAAGAGACTAATTAAGTAGGAAGAAGGTTGGGCATTTAATTAATTATTGAATTACTCATAATTGTAAATACGTTTCATGTGAACTATAATCACTAAGCTGAAGCAGTAAAATTTAATTTATAATTTTATGTAAATTAGCCTCCAGCTGTGACGATAGCTAAGATATTACTGTGAGGTTTTTACCTGTAACTACTAGTTACTCTTTAACTAAAGAAAATATTAGTTTTAATTATTAGAAAAAATTAACATTTCAATTTAATTTGATAAAGTTTTTTATATAAATTGAAGACATGGGAATAGACAGAATGGAACTTAACAAAGCTATGAACGTAAAGAAGCAATTGTATACTTGGTAATTTTTGGCTTGAGAAGAAATTTTCAAAATACATCATTATAATAAATGATATAAATTCATTGGGAATGTGAGAAAACCAAAATAAAACAAGCAATATGAAAAAAATAGATTTGCTGGTCTTTAATTATCTTGTAAAAATCCACAATTCAAGTGAGTGAGAGAGTGAGTGAGTGAGTGAGAGAGTTGGTGAGTGAGCGAGTGAGGAAGGGAGAGAGATGGTGAGTGTGTGAGGGAGGTGGGAGTGAGTGAGCCAGAGGGCCTGCAAGCTAGCAAGCAACAACTTAATTTAATGAAGCAACACAATTGGGCAAGGCCAGACTTCCCTGTGAGCCTCAACAATGTTCAAAACATTTGATATAATACAATACATCAATAAGAGATCATAGAGTAACACAAGTTGATTTTATAACTTTTGACTGCTGCATCTGGACTGCCCTTCATGATGTGTTTTTCCAACGATACCAGTGAAAGAAAAATCCAGCTTGAAACTTTTAAACCAGTCCTTTTTTTGAAAGTTTGTACAGTTAATTCTTATTTTAGCCTTGTTAGATGCTTCTTTATGCCCTGGGCATATAGAGATGGTGGTGGTTTTGGCAGTAACCAGAGCACCATTCAGCCACCGCATCGTTCCTCAGGGCAGGCTGTCAAGCAGTTTACCAGTACTAATTGCTTTCACTTTCACAAGGAACTGATAACTTCTGTACATACAAGAGCAGAGGTACAGTGCGAATGACAGTAGATAGAGAAAAACATGCCACTGTCTTTTGATATCAATTTTATCAGGCGAGGCTGATATGGGCTAGAAAGGGCGAGGCTTGCCGAGCCCTTTCTGCCCATATCAGCCGAGCCTGATAAAATTGATATCAAAAGACAGTAGCATGTTTTTCTATTTATCATGTAACACAAAAAAACTGTCAAAATAACAAAATAATCTACTTTTAAATAGCGAATTTCGTAAAAAAGGGGATTTTTGTTCAAAGAAATAATTCTTGAAAACAAATTCCTCCGCCCCTGAAACTTAGAATTTGTAAATAAAATGGCGGCCATTTTTTCTTTCGACTCCGATAAAAGATAAAACAGAATGTAGGTCTAACATGATAAAATTATTACCTTTAATTAAAACAGTGATCCAAAAAATCCCTTAGAATCACATAAACTTTACTCAAGCTCAAATTACTGCACTTTTTGTCTTAAATTGTAAAATTCAAAAGTTCACGATAATTTCAATCAAACAAAAGTCCAATTTGCAATCAAACACAAGCTTCACAAAGATGCGTCTTGTTTTTTTAAACGAAACAATTTGTTCACTTATTTAATAATCCGGCAAAATAAAGTAAACAATCACAAGTTCTCAAAGAAAATCGTCAAGCCTGTTTGTTATGTTTACATGTATAGTATGACGTGAACATTGATGATGTCATTTGCAATATAAATTATGACGTCACTTCATTTAGTTGGTGTTAAACCTATTCGTTATCTAATTTATTCGTAATTGAAATCGAAATAATAAATAAATAAATATCGCATCTTGATTTAAGACTTGTAAGGGTATGCAATGACATTGTAGATTCACATGCTGATGAAAATGAGAATATAAGCAATTGAAAAAAGTCCGTTAGAAATGGGCGGGGCTTATTTTTGATATCAGGTTACTGACCTGATATCAAAAATAATTATCAGGCAAGTGTTATCGGGCAGTTACCATAGCAGTTGCATGATAAAAAGGATTTCATGATTAATCACAGTAACAAAAGTGACCTGTGCTGTCCGGGAATCGAACCTGGGTCTTAAAGAGATGAACCTGTCTGTCTATTTGTCTGTACTGGCAACTGCATGGTTTTAATTTAGTTACATAATAATCTTCATTTCTATTTGAACTTTGACCTAAGCTTTATACAATTTTCTAACAATGCACCTTAGTTAGTCAGTACAAAACATATTAAGACATGTTTACGAAGGTAACAAAGGATTAAATTCTGTCGCTCAAATCTGTCATAAAATAAATTGCAACAGCTTTTTGCATAACTAATCATGCAAAGATGTTTGAACTACTGTTTGGCCATCATAATATGACACAAGTTAACAAGAGCTCAAAACTAGTATATGGATGACATACATAATTATGACACAGATGCTTCAAAACCGTAAAATTTCAGTTGTGAATATTTAACAATATTATATTTCCAAAAAAAATTTATCACTTTTTCTTTATGTATGATGTATTTACTGCAGCAAAATAAATCTGACCTCTTTGTTTTTAATGTTAAGTACCTGAATTGATTAGGACATAAACAAAAATATTTCTGATTGGATATTTATTATAATGAATATAGTTAAAATATTCTAAGAAGTAAGGTATAAAAGTTCACTGCGGACTAGATTTCTGTTATTTTTCAACCAAGATTAATGACTTACATGACCACATGCTTGGTAGTATGTTGGTTTACCACTGCTTCCTTATTTATATATCATCATTAATTAGCCTACAGGTAATTAGTGTGACACAAACATTGTCACTTATATACTGGTATCAAATATTAACTACTGATAGCTCAGGATAATGTGTCAGAAGCAAATTTATCAAATTACTTGCCTTAAATTTACTCAAACAATAATTATTGACTGTCACACAGATGACTTAAAAATTGACTTTAACAATGTACTTTACAAATTAACTTCATATTTGTATGATTTCTGGAAGATTAAGTTCTAAATAATGATGTTGAATTCATTAGAATGAGCATACATAAAATAATACTTGAAAAATTAGGCATTAAAAATGCTTGGACATAATAGTACTTAAACATTTAGATATAACAAATGCAATGGCAGATTTGACAAGATTTGTTTATTTATTAATTTCCTTGTGTGTTGTTTTCACAAAAAAAACAATTCTAAGTGCATGAACAAAGCATTTGTGTGAAAGATGACTGTTTGACATGTTGTGATGCAAAACAGAAAATAAACAACCACAATAACTGACTTATCAAATTACATTAACATATTAC